AGGGAAGACCATATGAAGACTCGGAGAAGGCAGCCTTCTACAAGCCAAGGGGAGAGGCCACAGAAGGAAAAAACCCCTTGCTGACACGTTGATCTTGAACCTCTAACTGAAACTTGAACTGTGAAAACTTAAATCTGTTGTTTAAGCCACCCAGTCTGTGGTACTTTGCATAGGAGCCCTAGAAAACTAATACAAATAGTAAAACCAACATTTTTTTCTGATTAGTTTAACACAGTCCTGTCCTGGGGATAAATAGTTTATGTATCAACCATATTTATGTTTTATTCAGTAAATTCACTATTTTTATTTATTTAATGTTTTGAATACCCTAAATCTATTTTCATGAATGATTGGCCAATTATATGGTAATTACTACCACCACTACTCATAATTGCTCATCTCTCCTAATTCTAATACAGTGAGTGACCTCAGTCTTGATCTTGGTTAATGAAAGTAAGAAAAAGTAGCATATTTGATTTTTCCAATTTGAATGGGACTCATGAATATGTTAACTATATACTCAAATGCCTACTGGATATATCCTACTGAAAACACCTTTTCCTCCATACTTGCTGTTCCTGCATTTCCATTGTTAATTAATTAGCCATTCTTCACCCAGATATCTAAGCCAGAAACCTCAGTACATTAAAACCATTTTCTATAATTTTAAAATGTTGTTCAATTACAGAAAAAAATGCAGGAATAGTAAAAGGAACACCTTTGCACAAATTCTCCACTTGCTGATTTATTACACTTGTTTCATTATTCTCTGTGTATATATGTATATATATATATATATAATTTATATTTTAAAACCATTTTCTATAATTTTAAAATGTTGTTCAATTACAGAAAAAAATGCAGGAATAGTAAAAGGAACACCTTTGCACAAATTCTCCACTTGCTGCTTTTATAAAATAATATTTTTCCTTTCTGTGTATATATGTTACTATTTATAGATAATATATATATATATATATAATTTATATTTTTATTTACTTATAAAATTACACTTATTATTTTTCAGAACCATTTGAGTAAGTTGTAAGCCTACAGCTTCATGACCTTTAAACACTTCTCTGTATATTTTCTAGAAATGAAGGTATCTCCTACATTACCACAGTCATTAAAATCAGGAAACTAACATTGTTAAAATACCACCATCTAGTTCACAGACCCCATTCACACTCTCTCAATGGTCCCAGTAATATCCTTTATAACAAAAAGATCCAATTCAGAGTCATATGGTCCATTCAGGGGTCATGTCTCTTTAGACTGTTACAAACTGAAGATGATTAGGCGTTCCTTTGTCTATCATGACCTGGACACTTTTGGAGAGTACAGGTCTATGACTTTGTAGAATGTCCCTCAGGTTGGAGTTGTCTTATCTTTCCTCGTGATTAGATTCAAGCTATGCATTTTTGGGGCAGAAATATCAAAATAGTGTGTTCCAAGGACCTCTTGCCATATACATACATTTATGCATATGTAGGTGTATGTGTGTGTATCTCTTACAACTCTCACCTTCTAGTTTTAGCATACATTGAGGATTCTTGTCTGAATCAATCTGTACTATAAAGGTTGCCAAATAGTGATGTTGCTATCTAAATCATTCTTTCTACATTTATTAGTTAGCAATCTAACATAAGGAAGAGCATTTCCTTATCTCCATTTTAAAAAACTCATATATTTATGTCAGTATGGACTCAAGTATTCTTAGTCAGTGGATCATAATTTATTAACATTATTATACAGATGCTCAGATTGACCCAAAGGTGGCTAATGGGGGCCCTTTCAAGCTGAATTCCCTGTCCCTTTGATATGTTCTGGGCTTCCCTTGTAGCTCAGCTGGTAAAGAATCCACCTGCAATGTAGAAGACCTGAGTTTAATCCCTGGGTTGGGAAGATCCCCTGGAGAAGGGAACGGCTACCCACTCCAGTTTTCTGGTCTGGATATTCCATGGACTATAGAGTCCATGGGGTCACAAAGCATCAGACACAGCTGAGCAACTTTCACTATTAATATGTTCCATCATTCTATGAGAACTTTCTTCACATCCATTTTTGTTTAATTTCTAGTGCAAGATTTTCCAAGGTCATGTTACATTTGCCAAGCTCCTGCTCTGGATGAGTCATTTCTCCAGGGCCTCTAGCTCCTATCAATGGATAATAGTGTTAAGAAAGCAAGGTCTGGGTGCTATGTGCTCATGGCTTCTAAGCTATCATTGCTCCTAGAGATTCTGAACAGAGAGCTAGGGGAAAGATAGACAGGAGACACATATATACACATGTACACAAGTACTTTATCTGTATTTCTGTATATGTTTACATATATATTGAAGACTGTGAGTTCAATTCCAATCCAACAACACCATCACAAAAGTCATTCTGGAATTCCTCTTTTTCCTATTTGTAACTCCCTTCTTCGTTAAGGAGAAAGATTGCCTCTCATTAGCCCCAACACACTTATTTCTTCACTCCTCTTCTATGTAACCATTATGACCTGACATACTTGCTACTTCTTCATCAGGCAAGGGAAAAAACTGTTCATCATTTTTTATTCTTTCCTATCACTCACTTCTCCATCCAGTCAATCACCAAGTCCTAACATTTTCTACCTTCTAAACATCTCTTCTGTTCATCCTGACCACTAGCATATCTTACATAGTCTACAACAACAGAATCTTAATTAATATTGCTGGATCTATATTTGTTTTCTTCCCATTCATTTTTCTATACTGCAGCCAGTTATCTTTCTGAAATTAATAGTTGACCATTTAACTACATGGTTAAGACAACCTCAGATATGCAGATGATACTGCTCTAATGGCAGAAAGTGAAGAAGAACTAAAGAGCCTCTTGATGAGGGTGAAAGAGGAGAGTGAAAAAGCTGACTTAAAACTCAACATTAAAAAAACTAAGATCATGGCATCTTGTCCCATCATTTTATGGCAGATAGAAGGGGAAAAAGTAGAAATAATGACAGATTTTATATTCTTGGACTTCAAAATCACTGCAGACAGTGACTGCAGCCATGAAGTTAAAAGATGCTTGCTCCTTGGAAGGAAAGCTATGACAAACCTAGATAGTGTATTAAAAAGCAAAGAGATTACTTTGCCAACAAAGATTCATATAGTCAAAGCTATGGTTTTTCCAGCAGTCATGTACAGATGTGAGAGCCGGACCATAGCAAAGACTGAGTGTCAAAGAATTGATGCTTTTGAACTGTGGTGGTGGAGAAGACTTTTGAGACCCCGTTGCACAGCAAGAAGATCAAACCAGCCAATCCTTAAGGAAATCAACCCTGAACGTTCATCGGAAGGACTGATGCTGAAGCTGAAGCTCCAATACTTTGGTTACTGGATGCAAAGAGCCGATTCAACAGAAAATACACTGATGCTGGAAAAGATTGAAGGCAAAAGAGAAGGGGGCAGCAGAGGATGAGATGGTTGGATAACATCACCCACTCAGTGGACATGAATTTGAGCAAACTCTGGGAGACAGTGAAGGACAGGGAAGCCTGGAGGGCTGCAGTCCGTGATGCTGCAAAGAGTTGGACATGACTTAGTGACTCAACAACAACAACAAAACCCTTCAATGGTACCTCACTGACTTCACATTACACTGTTTGGATCTCCTCAAAACTTGCTTATCTTTTGTCTTATTTCCTCCCAAAGCTCCCTTTGTCATTCTCACCAATTCAGTAAGCCATGCTGAATTTACTTCAGTTCTTGGATTATGCCAAGCTTTCCTTTAGTGAGAAATACACTTCATCTTTTTCTACCCAGAAACTCTTCCTAACTTATATAACTCTACACATTGTTTAGACTTTTACTTAAATGTCACCTGCTGTGAATTATCCTTGACCACCCTTCCCCCTTACCACCACACACACACACACCTCTCCCTGCAAGCTGTTGTAAGGTTTAGGCAAGAGGTAACAGGTATACATCTCAGCCAGTCTAATAGACTGTGGAATGTGTTATTGAAATAAGTAATAACGAGCTAGAATTATAACCTGTCTTTGTAAAGTGAGTCTTACATCACAGCTGTGAGGACCTATGAAAAGTGCATAAAATACCTAAGTTGTAAAGCCAATATATGCCATCTATTACTCATTCACATATGTTTATAAAGTATGAACTACTTGATATGTATTGTGGTAGACACTAGGGCTTGGGAAATTAATGTAATGTAAACAGTTAAAGTATAACTTGTAAAATCAGTGTCCAAAGCATAACAAGATATATACCAGGAATACTTGATGAAATTAGTTAACCTGATTAAGATTCAAAGCATGGACAACATTTGGTTTGAGACATGGAGGAGTAGGATTTTACAAGGAAGGATTCTTCAGGGAGACAGGACAGTATGTGCAAGAACTAGGGCATGAAAGGGTATGAATTATCTTGCGTGGTACACACAATTCAGTGTAAATTGAAGCATGATACCGAAACAAGGCAATGAGAGATGAAACTAGTCAGGGAGATGGAGTGACTTTTATCCTGGGCAAAGTAACACAACTTTCTCCTACCGATCATCTTTGAATAATTTTCAGGACAGTGGTATTTAATATTAAATTCACAGTTTCAGTGAGGTCATTATGGCAGCCATGTGGAGAATGGAATTCAGGGATCAAAACTGGAGTCAAGGGACTGGTAATGAGGCCATCTCACAACACTCCCAGTGAGAAGTGATGAAGCTGAACAGAAGGCAGTGGGAGTTAAGATGGACGAGAATGGACATGATTTGATGTTAAAAGGCATTTGGAAGGATCTACAGGAATTTAACTAGAAAACTGGGAGGATAAAACTAAGATAGAGATCTTGAAAGAGAATTAAATTTTAAGTGGAAAGATGGGGATCTACTGGGTTGGTTAAAATTTATCACTAACTTCTCACAGGATTTGGAAAAACAAATGAGATACGCTTTGAAGTGTGTAGAGAGGCAAATGAGAATGGAAAAGCTGGACTCCAAAGAAATATGCATAATGCTCTTACCACACAAACGAAGCAACAGGTTTTAGTGTGACTGCAACTGCAGAAAATTCAAGAGTCCTGGAGTGACTTGACTAGTATTTTTCCATTCCTGGTGACTCAGAGCTAAAGATGGCGCCTGTGGCAAAAATCAGAACGTGGGAGGGGGCACTGGGTGTAGCAGAAGATGACCTTTTAGGGGTTGCTGTTCTGTTTTAAACACAGTTATTTCACTATAACTGAGATAACTCAGCACCAGATGAATCGTGGATAATTTTTTCCCCTAAGATTTGATCTGTGGTACAATTCAGTATTCTCCACGCTTAGAAGAATGTTTCATTTCGTGGGCACGATCGCGTGGGGGAGGGTGGTGGTGGTGGTGGCTTGACAAGTGTATTTCTTTGCATCATTCATGTTTCTTTGCCTTGGCAGATTCCACGACAGCCATCGTCTGGCTTTGCCCCCTCCCGTTTTTCCCAGAGCGGGCTACAGTTCTGAAGAGCAGAGAGCTTCTTCCGGGTGACAGAAGCTCCGAGAAGCACCTGCGTATTGCCAGGGTCCCTTCCCGCTCCAGGGAGAACGGATTCTTTCTCTTTCGTGGCCCGCGCGGGCCCGAGGAGTCCAGCGCGCGGCCCCTGAGCGCGCGGCCCACCGCAGTCTGAGGGCGCGCGCGCGCCGCCTCCGCCTACGCCACACAGCAGCGCCTCCGGGCCCCGGAGAAGGCGGCGCGGGGGCGGGGCTTCGGGAGGGGCGGAGCCACGGAGGGGCCCCGAGGCCCGGCCGAGGTCCAAACTGAGAGCAGGGCCCGCATCGGTTGTCATGGGGACGGCGGCGTAGGCAGGCGCTGACGTCGGCTGGAGGCGCGCTGCCCGCACTGCGGCACCCGGCGGGTGCTCAGAGCCTGGGAGGCTGGCGGTGGGGGTGCCTGGGTGGCCACCTCACTCCCAGCCCGCCCTGCAAGGTCCGGGCGGTGGCTCCCTAGGGACCCGCTGTCGGCAGCTCTGCGCCCTCTTCTGTGTGAGTACCCTGCAGGCCTAGTGGTGGCGGGATCCCGGGCCCGGGAACTCGGCCTGCCCTGCCCTCTCTGGGGACAGCAGCGTGGAGGGCTGCTCTGGGCGGTGGGCCCAGCGGGGCGGACCGGGGCGGCGATGCGCCACTGCAGTCTGACCCGCCCAGCGCCGCGGAGCGGAGAGATGTGGTTTTGAGAGTTACCTCTACGTACTTAACTTTTCTTCTCCCGTTCCTGGGCGGATCTTCTCCGCAGCGTTGAGCGCGTTGTACTGAAAGAGTGAATGCAATCTTTGCCTTTCCTATTCCTGATTCTGGTTTAACAGCATTTAAATCAGATGCACACTAAGTACATTTATTTCCTTTTAGGGTGTCATCTTGGTGCTGAATCTTGAACCTGTGAAATGCCTTCTTAATTACATCTGAGAAAAGGTGATCGATCTGTTACGTTTCTAAGAGTCTACTTACATTAATAGGGTCATTTCGATATGTATACACATAGAAGAAAACGTATGCTGTTTAGGAATCCATCCCAAATGGCTGAGCTACTTTTCAACATTACTGTAAGAACATCTACTGACTGGAGTATATGACTTTTCCTTCTTCTGAGAAAAGGATGCTAACAGTTTTTTCACCTGTTGCATTTATGATTGCTGTTACTGCTTGGGTCTTATGGAAGATTGCTTGTTATGAGGACTCTGCGAAGTTAAAAAATATATATGAAAGAAATTCAAATGCCCAAAATTTTTAATCGTATTTATAATCTTACATATTTATAAAGACTATCTTGATTTATTGATTGAATATGTATACGGGTTTTTGTTTCCTTTTTTCCCCGTGCTGTAAAATTCAGTTAAGGAGTGAATCATCCAAGCCTCTGCCTGTTTTTTTCCTTCATCTTTAGTCATTTACTGACTGATAATGAGGTGTTTAGAGAAAAAATAAAATGAGATGAAATGTAACGCAGTTTGTTTTCCTATTTTGTATTAATATCTCTTAGCAAGTCCTGTTAAAGGGATTGTGAGGGAGAAGTTTTTAAATATAATGACGTATATGAAGTTCACAGATGTCCTTTTAAGTTTGACCTTAATTTTTCTGGATGATCTTACTTATCAAATATCAGTCATTATTAAAGTATTTGCTATAGTACACATTACCGTTTAGAGATGATTATTTCTGTAGTGTATTTGCTGTGTTCATCATTGAATAATATTAGTGTTTACTAATGGATTGTACATTAGACTATTAAATAGTAAATAATGTAAATACATAATTATGTTTTGTCTATCACATAATTGTCTTTTTAATACTGTAATAATCACATAAAGTAATAGGCCATCCACTATGCTGATCACTTTTCCTTTTCAGTACTTCCTTTTCTCCTTATAATAAAGTAGGTGCCATTTTCATTTCCCAGGCAAAAAAAAAAAAAAGCCTTAGTGAGATTAAGTGGCTTGCCCAAAGCCATACATTCAGTAATTATCAAAACAAGAGCTTATGCCTGACTCATTTTGACCCTATTACTGCCCCACCCCCTTTTAAAATGGGAATACATAGATGAAGAGAGCATAGGCCTAGCCTTCCCACAAGCTAATAGTTTGGTTGGGGAGGAGTGGGTAGTTTATCAGAGTGAAAATTCAGAAAGCAGGAGGAATGAAGATCAAGGCACTGAGGGAGCACGGTGTAGACCACTTCTTTCTTGAAACTCTTTTTTTCCTTTGGTTACTTCTCCCAGTTTTTCATTATCTGCCTGATGTCTTTTAGTTTTATTTTGTGGGCCCAGAATTTTCTTTTCAGCATTTTTTCTTGCAACCATCACAAGTATAAATAATGCCCAAATTTTCATCCCCTGTCTAGTCACTGAATTGCTATATTCTGTTGTCTACTAAACATAAATGGATTATATGTATATGTATTTCCATCCTTACACATACCCACGTACACTATATATATATATATGTATATATATAGTAATGATAGCTATCATTTTTGAAGAGCTTGCCATACTCTAGGCATTGTGCTGTTTTACTTGCGTATTCTTATTTAATCTTTACAGTACCCTATAAGTCATTTATTACTATTATTCTTTTTGAAAGATGAGGAATTGAGGTCCACAGAGTTTAATCTACTGACGGGTAGAACCAGGAATCTGACAATAGAGCCAGCGCTTGTAGCTGCTTAATACCCATCAGATATCAGCCCAACATGTCCCACTAAGTTCATTGAGTGTCTCTATAAGAAATATCTATTATAATTCTAGCTAATGCTGTTGATGTTTGTTCTGAGGCACTCTTTTAGCCTTTTAATCATTTAAGTCTTAACAACAGTCCTCTGAATAGTTGCCGTCAGACTGACTTTACAGATGAGGAAACAAATTGCCCAGCCTATACAAGTAACTGTGGGAGATTACAGTAATTCCAGGACTTGTGTTTTAAACAACTGCACTGCTGCTGCTGCTGCTGCCAAGTCGCTTCAGTCGTGTCCGACTCTGTGCGACCCCATAGACGGCAGCCCATCAGGCTCTGCCGTCCCTGGGATTCTCCAGCAAGAACACTGGAGTGGGTTGCCATTTCCTTCTCCAGTGAGTGAAAGTGAAAAGTGAAAGTGAAGTCACTCGGTCATGTCCGACTCTTCACAACCTGGTGGACTGCAGCCCACCAGGCTCCTCCATCCATGGGATTTTCCAGGCAAGAGGACTGCAGTGGGGTGCCATTGCCTTCTCATAAACAACTGCACTGTACTTAGCTATACTGCGCTGTATTCCAATTAATGATATGACTGGTCTAATTATTCAAGTTTGAAAACCATGAGAATCATCCTTGACTCTTTGTTCTCTTTAGGAGTTTTTATTTCATCTGTCTAAAATGTCATGAATTTTCTGCTCAGGATGAAACAAAAGAACTAAGCCTTTCTTGATGGCTCAGAGTCATAGTTCAGCTGTCTTCCTGATTCTTAAATCACTATGAAGTGCCAGTCCCCCAGTTGTGTCCGACCCTTTGTGACTCTCTGTAGCCCCACCAGCTCCTCTGTCTCCGGAGTTCCCCAGGCAAGAATACTGGGGTGGGTTGCCATTTCCTTCTCCAGGGGATCATCCCCCAGTGATTGAACCCAGGTCTCCTGCATTGCAGGCAGATTCTTTACTGTCTGCGCCACCAGGGAATGACTGTGGAATGCCTTTAAGTATTAAATCTTTATTTGCTTTCTATTTTTCCCTATTTATGTGCTGCCAGGTCTCCGTTAGTGATGTAGTTGGCTTTGCGGCCTCTCTCTTTTCTAATCTGGGGTAGATTGGAAAGATGATCAGGCTTACTCGACCTAAATCGTCTCTGAAGAGTTAACACTGGTTCATATCAATAAGGAGTAGGAGGTTCTACTCTGTGGATTTAATGATGTCTGTTTTGTCTGTGTACTGGATAGTTGTTACAGAAGTTAACTCACATAATTAGTTTATTTGTATAAGCATTCTTTTTAGCATTTCTTATCAGACTTTTCTGTCCAGAGTACCACTAATACTAAAGGAACATGAATGTGGATCTCTGGGGATCTCGAACCTTAACTGATAACTGTTGAGCCAAAAAAAAAAATTTTTTTTAAGTCTTCAGTTTTATTCTTAAAAATGCATGCACATTATGTTCCAGTGTGAGAATTGATGTTTTAGACACCCTCATCTTTTAAAAAATTGAAAATTTAAGAATATATATACTGAGTTTATCCATGTTTTAGGTACACAATGATGTACACCCAGGTATTGATCTGAGAAGATGGAATGAATGCTTGTGCTAAACCTTCTGTTGCAGCAGTATTTTCAGTGGCAGACACAGAAATATTTAAATTCATTATCTGTGAATGTGCCACCCAGAAGGATACTTTACTAGTGCAATAATATATGCGCTTGGGAAAATCAGTTGTGATACGGAGTTTGGTTTCTCAGAAGTACATTGAAATGTCCATTTATTTACTTAAAATACTTCAGTGTTAGTCGCTCAGTCGTGTCCGACGCTGCGACCTCATGGACTGTAACCTACCACGCTCCTCTGTCTGTGGAATTCTCCAGGTAAGAATACTGAAGTGGGTTGCCATTCCCTTCTCAGGGGATCTTCTTGACCCAGGGATCAAACCGGGGTCTCTTGCATTGCAGGCAGATTATTTACCATCTGAGCTACCGGGAAAGCCCAAATACTTTAAAAGCATACTAAGTTAGATGCTTGTTGCCTTTCAATAATTTAAAAAAATTTTTCTCAATATATACATATTTTACTCAATTTTGATCGTTTGCTTCACTTTAAGACTAAACTGATTTAGATGTTTTTAAGTTGTTTGTATAAGATGGGGATAAGAGAACTTAGTTTTATTTTTAACCTGTTGAGATAGTGAACAATCACATAATGTTGCATGAAGAATATTCTATAACTTTTATTTGGAAAATCCATTTTACAAATAAATCTCTTTGTTTTAATAGGATCCTGACTGAATCAGTGCTTTATACTATCACTCAATACTCTCCATAAAGCTGAGATATGCCCACTGGTAAGATTTCTATGAAATTTTTTATATGAAGTGCATATTATTTACTTTAAAGTTTGGATTATTTTAAGGGATTCTTTAACCAATTAAGGAGTAAAGTAGATATCAACCAAATATAAAATTTATAGATACTTCATAGTTTGATATTTCTTTCTGTGAAATGTTGGTAATTAAGGTTAATATGTATTCAGTGGCTGGCAATTTGGGACTCAGCTGGGCAGAGTAAATAACATATCATTAGTTTTTATTTTTTATTATCAAATGGATATTTCACTTTAAAGTAGACTTTGGTGAACTTTTTCGTAAAAGGCAAGCTAGTAAATATTTTAGGTTTGGTCTGTGCTACAACTACTCAACTCTGCCATAGAAGCATGGAGGCAGCCATGATAATTCTTAACAGAGTGGGTATGGCTGTGTTTCAATAAAACTTTATTTATTAAAACAGTTGACTGTCCTGCAGGTAGTTTCCCAATACCTGCCCTGGGGCATTCATTCATTCAGCATTTATTTGAAACATGTTTGAGTACTTACTCTGTGCTAGACCCCATGATGATAGCTAGGGACGTCGTTATGACCTATTGGGTATAGTGGGAGAGTCACAGTATATTTATATACATATATATATATATATATAGGTATACAAATAATTATACAGATTCAAGCTGGGTTAAGTGCTGTGATGGAAAAAAGTCTGCAATGTGAGAAATGGAGAAATATAGATGAGGTTGTCAGGAAATGTTCCACTTTAGAGGCAACATTTAAAAACAGGCATATTAACCCCAGCCAGGTGTAAGGAGTTAGAGACGTCTGCACAGGGTAGAAGCAGCTTCATGTGGGAAATTGCCTGTTTTGGCAGAAGAGCTAAAAAAGAAAAAAAAAGGTATGTATGGCTAGAATGTAGGAATGTCAGGGGCTGTTTTTTTTAGTTGAAGCTGTAGAGATAGACAGGCCAGGAAATGAGAACCACGTAGGGCACGTGAACGACTTGCTTTATTTTGTTCCAAGTGAACTGGGAAACTCACAGTCTTAAGCAAGGACTAGCCTGATATGATTTATGTGTAAAAGAGGAAAGCAACTTTCAGCTTTTAGTATTTGTTGAAGACTTGAATGTTGGCCAGTCAAGCGTTAGTCATTTTTCATGAAAAAGTGATCTTTGACTTAGGATTATTCTGACTTTACACATAAGGAGAATGAAGTTTAGAGATGTTAAATGACTTGTTTTAAGGCCACATAACTAACAGTGGCAGATGCTGTGTGCATGGTAAGTAACAAGTTAACTTAGCAAAGGAAACTTTTGGAGGGAGTAGCCCAAAAGGTAAATAGGGTATCAGTGAGTTTGGTGTCACCAAATCAGAAAGAAAGGTTGTTTAAGAAAGGACTCGTCAACTATTTTAATTAGAGCAGGTATTTGTGAGGCTGTGGGGTTTTATTTCTTATCATGATGTATGTGATAGTAGAGTTGCAGAGAAAATGACATGAGTCATTATCATTTGTAGTTGAGAGTGAAGCTAAAGTGAAGACCAGAGTTCGCTTTGAGGAGTTGCTAAAGGCCCACAATGATCTAATGCGTGAAAGAAAAAAACTGAAGAAAAAAATTGTCCAATCTGGAGAAAAAATCTCAGTGAGTAATTCATCATTTGGTAATGTTGACTTGAATATCTGCATAAAACCGAGAGTTTCTAAGGAACTTTGGAAATTAAAAACAGCAAAATGGTCAATCACATGGTAAAACAAAGCTTCCTTCTAATCAGCCTCACTCTTGGAGTATTGAGTTCTTGAGTGCTGTCCTGCAAGAATACAGACCAACTGGTTGAAGTGACCAGGGATGCCAGGGAAATGCAAGCTAGCCGTATTACACGGTCTTGCAGAAAACCCTGATTTTTAACCCAGAATTGTGAAGAATTTATAAAGTAATATCTTATTTCAGATATGTAATAGCTTATCTTCGTATAGAATTCTTCATCTGATTCTACCTAGCAGAACCAGGGGAAATCAATGGAATCTTAAAGAACCCTTTTGTAGTTGAGGTACACTTTCAAATGATAGAATTTTTTGGTATCACCCTTGAAGGGATTGAAAATACAGAACTTAAAGAAATACTAAACAAGTCAGAAATTAACTACAACCTGATTCGGGTATTAGAGTCTGTAATAGTATCCCAGTTAAGGCACTATTCGCTCTTCAAACCTGTCTCGCTATTTCCCTTTGTGTTCCCATTTCATACACTCCTTTGACCATAATCTCTGTGTAATCACACACACACAAGCACAAATAAGTAACTTCATGCAAGTTCTGGTAATTGGTACATGCGTGTTCTGGTAATTGAGAAAAGGAATACACACATTCCTTTAACAGGAGATTTATGAGTTATATGCATCCTACGTTTTACTTGGAGCATATTCTAACCTGGTCTGTATTTTGTCATGAGACCTCTTCATTTTAGTGTTCTGCCTGGCAACCATCAGTGTAATAATTATATTCTTGAGTGAAACAAAAAAAGTATCGACCTTGGCTAGGATCCAGCCGGATGCATGTAAGGAGTTCCTAGTACCCCAGTGTACTACACTGCATACAAAGTAAGAACCACTGAGAGAATTGGAGCAGATGAGGTCTACCCTAGTGGATGCTGCTCTAAGATAGAACATGCTGCTTTTGGTGTATGGTAGGGAATAGTGGCATCTGGACAGTGAACATTGCTTACTGGTATATGCCCTCACCTTGAGGAAAGTGGTATACATTTGGCAAACCAGAAAGAGCCCTGGATGCAACTACAAAATATTTTTATGGACTCAAACCAAGTGGAATTCGTACTTTCTCTCTCTGTCAGAACTGGGCTTTGTGAACTTGAACAAGGTACAGTTTAAGCCAGGGATGCTAAATTCAATGGATAACCAGAAAATGGGCAGAAGATGTGTCCACTTATCTAAGATCCAGTTTAGGTGTTGGGGACACCTAAGGGATAGGTCATTAAAAGTAATTTACTCAGTCTCTTTTGGCACACACCAGGCCATCCACAGTCTCTCTTAATTTAAAGATAAAAGTATTTAGGAAGAATTTTTCAGCCGGACAGAAGCAGATTATTCCTAGAAAGCAAAAGTATTTTTGAAATGCTTTGCTTTAACAAATAGAGGAGGATACCTGTTTTTATTTACTAAAATACAGTGCTCTCTTTCAAGGGAGAGCTTGAGCACTTCTAAATATTTTATGTATATTCACTAGTTTTTAATTTAATACAAACAATATAATTATGAAGTTTCATTTACATTTACACATAGGGAAACTAGATCACAGAGAGTTTGAATAACTTACCCAGAGTTGCATAGTTAATGATAAAACCTTGATTCAAACTGACAATCTGACTTCAGAATCTACTGTCTTTACCACAACCTAATAGGACCCTGTTTAGTAAAGTAAGAAGTGATAGGACCTCTTCAGAATAAGAACTCCCATGTGTAGAACAGGCTGAGACTAAAAAGGAAGCGGGCTTAAATAAGAAGATAAGCAAAGAGAAAGCCATCGAAGAATTCATAATAATGGAAGGTTTATCTTACTGTTTTTCAACTGTCTATTAGGCACTGTGATAAGGTTTTTACAAATTATCATTTCTGATTCTCCTGTTAATCATAAAAGTAGGTATTAGAGGTCTTATTTTGCACATGAGAAATTTTATGACTGAATAGAAAACCACTTACTATCTCTGCCAGGTTCATATAGCCAGAAATAGAGTAAGCTGGAGTAATTTATTTATATGTAGGTGGTGCTAAATGTATGTATGATTCTTATACATAAAGAATCCACCTGCCAGTACAGGAGGCTTAAGAGACACAAGTTTGATCCCTGGGTTGGGAAGAGTCCCTGGAGAAGGGAATGGTTACCCATTCCAGTATCCTTGCCTGGAGAATTCCGTGGAAGAGGACCCTGGTGGGCTACAGTCCGTGGGCTGCAAAGAGTCAGACACAGCTGAGCACACACACATTTTTGTGTGTATTAACATGTATCAGAAATTTTATTTAGCCCACTGATCAATGAGGGAACCAGTAAGATGTTATAACCAGTTCAAATGGATGTGATTTACAGAGATTTATATTCTTTACCAGGCAAAATTCAGTTGCATTATATTAGTAGAAATCATTTACATAGCTTTCCCTTCTCCAGGGCATCTTCCCAACCCAAGGATCAAACCCATGCCTCCCACATTGCGGGCAGATTCTTTACCAGCTGAACCACGGGGAAGCCCATATTATTATTTACCAGACAAAATTTAGTTGCATTATATTAATAGAAATCTTTTATTTTTGTTACACTAAAGTAAAACCAAAACAACCTGAATCCTTCTACTTAGAGACAACCTACATATACAACCTTTGTGCCATATTTTTTAATATCATGTAAGAATTTTAGAATCTGGATTTAAAACTACAGTCTCTCCGTGATTCTTTCTTCATTGCTGCCTCAAAAACTGTACCTCAGGCCTAAAATAATAGAATTGACACTAAGGAAAAATTTAGTGATTGGCCTACAAATGTGAGAGAAAATGGCTGAAACTAAAATGAAAGATACAGTAAATAAGGACATATAGAAATACTTGACTTACAAGTCTATGTTCCCAGACAGCACTAATGGAGCAGAAATAATAGAAAGAGGATGAGGAGGAAACTTTCCTGAGAATGAAAAAGGATGTGGGAAGAGATGAATCCATCTTGCATTCCAGGTAAAGTTTGAGATGAGAACTCTATCTGGAAACTTAAATTTCAAGGGAGAGAGAAATTTTGCTAGCATCTAAACAGAAGAAACACCTAGTGTGTTTCTAGCTTCTCTCCAAAAACACTTAAGTCAAAAGACAGTGGAGCAAGATCATACAATATTTAGGGAAAAACAGTGTTCCAAGGGATCTACTCGCCTACATTGTCAGTCATGTATGAGGGCAGTAGGGAGCATGTGAATTGGGAAAGAATTATGACTGGTGTTCCCTCCTGAAAAAATCAACAAAACTACGAAAGATAGATTAGTTGAATGTGTAGTACCATCTCCAGAGACATGAATGAAAACAAAGTGTTTAGGAATAGAGAGTTTATAATCTGAAAATAAATTTGGATGAGCCTTGAAACCAGTTATGTATGTAGAAGTTTCTGCGTTGTTTCTGCCAGGGGCTTCAAGAAGCTATGGTACAGGGACTAGTACTGATAACATTGCTTTATCTTCTGGGGGAAAAGGTCATTTACAGTCTCATTTTATCTCACATTAAATTACATTTCAGATATCTTAAAAAGTTAAATGTAAAAATCTAAATTAAGAGACAAATACTTGAAGAAAATAGAAGTGAGCTGGTTCAGTTTTCCAGTGTGGGAAGATACTCTGATCTTAAATGAAAGACATCCCAAATAATGAGAATATTCTTTGTCTGCACACAGAAGACCAGTAAATACTTGTTGAAGGAATAGATAAATCTGAGGTAGAAGATACTTTGAGTCAGAAACAAATACAACTAAAAGTTAGCTAATTCACTGAAACTGATTTTTTTTTTTATAGTCACAGATCTAGTACTCATATAGCCAATAACATAGTAATAGCTAAAGTTTATTGAGCACTTGTATTCTGGAATCAGAAGGTTCTTTTTAGTGTTCTATTCCCCTATCAATCTAAAAAAGGACCTATGAGTAAGTTCCATTCCAAATGTTAATAAATAAAGAAATGCTACAAGTAAATGCCTTGAATAGTAAGATACTGTATCTCTTAGGGCTTTCCAAGTGGTGCTAGTGGTAAAGAACCCACCTGCCATTGCAGGAGACATAAGAGACGTGGATTCGATCCCTGGGTTGGGAAGATCCCGTAGGGAAGGGCATTACAACTCACTCCAGTTTTCTTGCCTGGAGAATTCCATGAACAGAGGAGCCTGGTGGGCTACAGTCCAAAGGGTCATGAAGAGTCAGACATGACTGAAGCAACTTAGCACGCAGGTGTCTTAGGTGAGCAAAAGGTATGAAAAAAAATTAATGACAAGAGAAAATGACATCAACTAATAAAAATACAGGAACACTTTAAAAGTGATTTAGGTTGGAAACCAGATTGGTATTTTTACTTACCAAAGAAGTATTCAAAAGTTAATCACCAGGGTAGAGAGCAAAACTTTTTGATATAATATTCATAAAAAGATGAAGCAGTACAAGGATGGACAACTTTTTCAGAAAGTTTAACTGTATAAAGGAGTATTTTCAGTGCTGATATTTGAGAAGATAAGGGAGAGATTTGATGATACAGGACAGGAAAATGTTTTAGAAATACAAGTTAAGACCCACCTCTTTATAATGAGAAGGAAAGGGAAAAAGATTGTTTAGAGTACATGAAAATTTATAAATTTGGTAGTAGGAAGTTGCAGCTTTCCATTTGGTGGCTTTTGACTCACCTGTGAAAGTGAGTCAAGAAGTGACAACATTGAACATCAGAGGTAAGTGAAGACAACTTGAGATAGCCAGTATGCAAAAGGTACAGAAGAATGCATATAAACAGATTATGCAGCATGGGAGAATTGTTTGTAGCTTTGAGGTCTCAGTTGAATTTATAGGCCATATCTTTATAATAGCACCAATCTTTGAAGTGGTTCAGTTTCTTCAGGCCGCATTC